ATGCCGCGATATTTCTCGCACTTCATCTTACCACACTTTTGGAAGACAGGCATTAGTATACCTAAACCCCGGTCATTCGGACGTATTTTATCTCTCCACGCTTGCTCAATTTTCTCATGGAGCCAGGCAATTAAAACAATACTTGTCGATTTTAGTGGGAATACCGTCCTCCCCAGCCACCTTGTTGCACAGCCTTCGTATTGCATCTGGAACTTGTTCGAAAGGGAGGTCGCATGACACTGCATATACTGGACAGAAATGAACCTCCGCTGCGAAGAAAGGTCGGATGGATTGCTAATCAAAGTCGAGGGGATGCTCGAAGTGCTCACGCCAGTGATAGACCTTGGTCGAGTTGTCAGCAATGAAGTAGCCATTCAAATCACAACCAGTAACTCAGTGTAGAGAGCTGATCACAAACTTTGCGGATAATTTAGTAGAGTTCTAAATTGCTAACAAAATGTAAGGCCTTCTCTGTGGAAGGCGTTGCTTTGAATCAATACTTATGCTGTCAGCTTCAGGAGTGTGGAAGGAAGCATCGTTGCGTGACATGGCTCGAGCCATCTCGGCAGACTCTCGCAGGGTTCTTCCGCTGATCCAGTCATTGCTGCGCCGCTGAATGAATCCAAGAATATTCTCAGCTGCCCCATAGACCGACGTCTTCATTGATGATTATTTGTCACTGCCTCTACCGTCGGCTCGGGTCGTATAACTGGACCGGATTTCCATGCTTAGAGCCCCGGTTGTGCTCTGTTGCCGGAGTTTTGCGACATCAAGGCGTCTTGCATGTGGCATCTTAGGCTCATATGATGTAAACATTCAGGCGTGTGCGAACGAGAATATAGTCATACCCGTGAGCGTTGCCAGTTTTGACACCTCGCATCGACCTGCTGTCGTGGAACAACGGTGGAACCTTAAACCAAATAAATGTAATCGGTCTGACTGACGGTACGACCATCCTCGGAATAGCAGGTCAGTAGATCTTCATGACGATTGTGAAAGTATGTGTTGGTAACGAACAGTCGGTTCTGATCAACAAAATGCAGCATCCTCTCCCAATTTAGGATCGAGAGCCAAGCCCAAAAACGACCAAAAAGATAACTGTTTGACGAGTCACCAGGGCCAGTCCGACTATTCTAGCCTCTGGCAACAACCAAGAGATCACGGTGAGGAAGTCCTTCAGCAAGCTCCTGCAGCTGCGAGTAAAAATTATACTTATCTTGCTTTTCGGCAGCTGATAATGGTGCGTAAACAGGGCCGACCCAGATGATCGTTAAGTGACCTCTGGTCATACGTAAGCCATGCGATCATTGAGTGATGCCCCCGCCAGCAGTGCACGGCTTGCTTGTCCCGAGAGCGCAATAACCAAACTCTGTCCGCCAGAAGAGCCGCGTGGACCGCTGTGATGCAGAGTGAAGTGGCAATTGACTCATGGAAATTTTTCTCGGGTGCCTGAGTCGGGGATTCGGACAGGCAGCAAACATCCACGTGGTAGGGATGAAGAC